ACACTGTTTGAAAGGGGTCCCTTTTCACTGTTGCACTGTGGTGAGGGAACAGCTGTATGTGTTACTAAGCGTGAAAGTTCCGAAACTGAAGCTGTAGAACTAACAGAACGTGATGACACCGAAGAACTCATCCACAATATCCACATTGACCGCCACAAATATCCACCGCCCCCTGCAATCTGCTTCTGCGTCTCACACACACACGAGCGCGACTTTAGCACTACATTTAGCACTAGATTTAGCAACTTTCAGACCCTTTTAGTGGCTTTTTTTCCATAGAATATTCATACTGATAAACCTAGCGAATTTTTTGGATAAACCTTAGCTATGGTTCAGTTGGAAGATTGTGCCACTGCTGTCTCACGAACGCGAGTTCTGACTTTCCCGGAGAAGTGTCACCTCTCTCGGCATCTGTTCTGTGCAGTGAGCTGCAGAGAAGCAGCGTATTCAGTTGGCCGCACCGCAGTCGACTCGTCAATAAATGAGTAAAAAACAGCGTTTCCTAGCACCTGTCGCTTATTGATCGTTTGGAATTATAAATGAGTGTAGTTCGTCTGTTAATATCACATGCACTCTTTTTTTTTTAGTTTGTTACTCAGACGCAGGCAGTGCGCTGCATGAGACAAAAAAGTAATATAGCCAAAACAACCGCATAGCCGCTCTTTAGTGTAGATGCATGTTGACTTTATCAGAAGATGCCGCGATTATAAATGAGAGTGACTCCTGGTTAACATGTATTAAAAGGGGTCGTGTTTAGTCACTATTTAGTGTGGTATTTTTTGACAATATTCACTCATCATGACAGTAAAATAGGGCATTCTAAGTCAATATACTGCAGTATTTCCTCTCTCAATCAGTAGAAAATATGGTTAACACCCGGTCATGCATGGAAAAAAAAAAATGCCGTCATGTACCGTGAAACCGGTATAATTTTGAAAAATACCGTGATATAAATTTTTGGTCATACCGCCCAGCACTAATAGGTTGTAACTTTGACATCACTTTAAGCTTTTAGTTTAGTGTTTTATGATGTATTTTTTTAATGGCATTGTTATTCATTTTACACTTAACTGCAATTAATAACAGTTGCAATAACAATGACTGTGTTCAAAGTAGAAATCTGAATTCGACAACTGGTATATATGTCTGTCTGTATTAAATTTGGATAATTTAAAAAATGAAATATCCACCATAAATGAGCATATCTGTTCATGTCCACACAAAGGTGTTTGTGAATGGTTAAGCTAAAACAATTTGGGAGCAAGAAGACTCAAAGTTTCTTTCTTTCTTTTTTTTAAGCAAATTTTTTTACTAACATTAAAAAGAAGTGTCTCATAACAGTGGAAAATAATTGGGAGATTGTATGGGCAGTGTGAAGATAAATGGTAACCCTTGTTCAGCAAAACATCAGATTTGCATGCAGTATTCATACACTGTGTTTATTTGGAGCCCTGCAGTGACTCTAACCCAAACCATACTCATATCTTTAACCTTAACCTGTGTGAAAGTGAATTAGTACTTAAAGGAAGAAGACATAAATTTCGACCCTGAGTTTGCAGTTTATGGTGACATAACATTGAGACAGCACCATATTACTCCTCACTAAACAGACTCAAGTTAGTTGTCCATTTAATTGAAACTTTATTATTATGATTGTGGCCGTGAAGCTAGCAGAGCTGTCATCGGAAGTGTTTTAAGCACTTGATTGTACAGTGTTGAGGTTGCAGTTATGATTATGTTTACCGAAATCTAGATACACACTTGAGGCCAGTGGATGTGTCAGAGCCAAACTGGAGGACGCAGAGAGAAGAGGGGGTGAGGGCATTGTGTCCTGGTAATCAGGAGCGATTTTGACTTCCTCCTTCCCCTGTTGTATCCTGCTTGAATGGCATGGCCTGACAGAGTCCCAGCCCTCACTTTCAGGCCAGAGAAAGAGAAATAGGAGGGTCTGGCATGAAAGGCACTTTGAAGTGCGCTCCTCATCAGTCTTTGTCTCTCTTCTTTGCTCTGTTGAATACTGAGCAAACAGAAGCAACAAAAGAATGCTTCACAGGGCTACTGGGTAGCTAGCGAATATCCCACAAGACTAATGTTAGTCTAGTCACATTTTAGACTGTCTAACAGAAAATGCTGTTTTGCATGAATTTTCCAGGTTCGGTAGAGGGTTAGGCTCAATCAACAATGTTTGTGGCCTAATGTTGATTACCATGAATCATTTCTTCCATCCTTTTGTTATTATGGTGGGCTACTTACAATGGAACTTTAAAAAAAAAAAAAAAATTACATATTTTTTTTTTAATTTAAAAGCAGAAATGTGAAGCTTGTTGTAAAGCACTTACATTAATTCTTCTTTTTAAAGCTTAAACTCTCTTAAAAGCTGTAAAACTCTTTAAATATCATTTTTAAGGGTTTTAAGGTTTATGGTGCCGGTTATCATGGTAGCTTTAGTATAGTAAGTAACTTTTTTCCATGCTAAAATCATGTTAGTACACATCTGTTGCCTTATGACTATATTATTGAAACAATAAATATTATTGGCCCAATTCACTTCCATTGTACATGCCTCATTGTAAATCAGATTAGCTTTTTTTTTAAATGTTATTTTAGAACATTTTCAATAGAGCATTGTCATTCTGAACCAGTGTTATTTTAGTATTATTTATTTACAGTTTTATACATAGCTTTTTTATTTTAGTCAGTTTTATTAATTTTGTATTGTGCTTTTGTCATATTTATTCGTTTTTATATTTTTAAATCTGTTTTTATACAATTATTTCTATATAGATTTATTTTAATTTCAGTTTTAGTATTAGTAATTTTGTAGTTCAGTTTTTTTAAGTTTAATAATATTTATATACCTAATATGTATATTTTATTTCAGCTTTATTTCATTTAACAAAAACTTAAGTTAAAGATAATGACACTACTTGTTCTCTGAAAAGGCAGACCCAGAATGCACTGCACTGAGTCATTCATTGGTGCTGGGAATCAAAGTTTTACAAGTTTTTGTTTTGTGTATGTTTCACCCCATCACCAGAGCTCAAAGACCTCATATTGTTCTTGGCTACCGTTCTGATCTGTTAAAGGTTGTAATTGTGATGGACTCAGTGTTACAGAGAGTGATACAGAGGACATCTGGCATGTGTCAGTAAACTGCAGGTGGAATGTGAGTGCGTCTGGCTGAAGTCAGCTTGATTTCACCCAGAGAAACCGAAGCAGACAGAGGTCACTCAGGGCACCCCCCCCCACCCCCTGACCCCCTTG